TGCAATGCGTGATTGCTTGCAAAATGAAGCTTTCTGAGTCACATGTATAAATAATTATCATCATCGTATATCAAAATAAATATGTAGATTTAAAAAAAGATTTCAGATACATTATGTAAATTATATTATAATATGTATCAATTAAGATAATTCTTCTGATCGTCTTTTGATTCAATATATTATTCTAATGAGCTGTCATTTATAAAACCTCATATATATGTAATCATTAATAACAAAATTATTTAACGAAGTATAAGTGAAATATCTGATTTGTACTCTTGGCTATTTCTCAAATATGTTCAATCAATGTATCAATTCACATACATACACACACTAGAATTGCCTTAGCGTAACATTTTTATATATTTTTATTCCTTTTCATTTAGTTTAAAATATTACCAATTTATTTAATTGTTCAATGCATTAAAAAGCATTGATACAAAATTGTCAATCAGTGTGAATCGTGGCTCTATAAGTAACATTATTGAAGTGTGAAAATACTTCACTTCTTCCCTTAATTTCTCATTCATTTAATTGATTTATTTATATAATATTAATGAAAAACTGTTTTGATATTTGGTAGGTGCGGAAAATTTATAAAATATGTTTTTGATTAAACTATGTTAAAAATAATAAAATAGAAAAGATGTTGTTGAAACAGTGTTTGTCAAGTATGGTGTTGTTAAATTTCATATTACTAACAGAATTTCATTCGTTTGGGGTAAAACATTGAAAAATATTACAGTCAAAGTAATTATTATTCCAGTAATTCATATCTCTGATTTAAACAAATAGAAAATTAATTTTAGAAAAAATACATAAACACCTTATGTATCAAAGTGGAGAGCAGTTCATTACTATTGTATATTTACTGATTTGTGCAGTGCATACTTTGCAAACATGGTAATTTATAACTTACCAAAAGAAAATTCATGCCGCAGAAAAATATATTTACTATATTTATATACTGCTAGAAAGCCACGACAATTTACACATATTATGCAAAAATATCAGACATGCATTAGCTCTTTGAGAACAAATGCAGTGCCCGAGTGTGCCCTAGCCTTGTCTATAGGTGGGCTATTTACATGTTATTGTCGTGCATTCCCTCGTTACTCGTGCGTTTTTCTTTTACCGCTCCTTCTTGGCTCTTAACTCTTAAAGTCCTAAGACCACACAAATAGCTATACTAAATTACTTCGCGCAAAAATAATAAACGCCATTCAATAACTACACTAAGTAGATAATGAAAGGGTAAGTCCAAAGGATAATTGATGTTGTAAAATCGATAAATCCTCTGCATTTTGTTTGGTGAAAAACGAGAATGCTTGATGGTTCTAACTACTCTGCCATGGTAACTGAGGCTTAACAATGAAGTATAAATGTATTCAAAAACACATAAATATGTATGTATGTATGTACCTTAGTCGGGTATGTAAGCACTTAAAACGCTTCGTAAAAGTTATTACACAAACAGCACTATTCTGTCGAGGTAACAAAATTTACCTAGGTATTAAAATTTAACATTCACAGGCCTATTCTCACTGTAACCGGTAGATTAAATTTTGTTACTTTTCTTTGTTACCATTTCGTATTCTGAGTTCACTGTCACCCTGTAAATTTTATTACCAGCGAAATAGTAGGTAACAAAAATATCTGCTGTTTTATTTTGTGTTGTAAGTTTGAGAAAAAAAAAACCAAAATGGGTAGTCATATTTTAGGCCTGCAATTCATTGAAGATGAAGAAAAAAGTGCAAAAAGCCGTATTTTAAGAAGATTTCGAGACTAAAAAATAGCTCTTTAATTTGTGTACTTTATGTTGTACAGACATATTTTCCATAATTAGGTTCAAATATATATGATTTAATAGACATATTACTAAAACTTTTAATTTTTTTGTGCACCGTCTTCCATTTCGATGTGAATATTTTTATGACACTTTTTTTTACTTTATCAACTGGCAAATGTAATTTGACATGGACGAAAAATCAGTGCTGCCAAATTTTTTTCAAACATTGTAACCAGTTCGCCAGAATACCAAATTCAATTTCGGCTGTTACAGAAAAGTAACAAAATTTACTTTACCGGTAACAGTGAGAATAGGCCTGTAAAAGTCTAATAGTTGCGAATAGGTCCGAATACACATGAGCTTCCCAACAAAGCTCTTGGAGCTTCTGGAAATTTTCTATCGACGTATGCAGTCTGACTTTGTCTTGATGAAACACAATTCCCCTCCTGTTATCTACACTGCCGAACGGCCACAATAATAGAACAGCAAGATGAATTTGCAAATAAAAAAGAAAGGGGATGAAATGCCTCAATATGTAGAACTGCTGCTATACTAAGCCAGGAGCGCAGTCAGAATTAGGAAGGACCTCTTCGTGCTGTTCGGAACTAAACCAGGTTTCAGACAGGTTGACTCTTTATTTTCTGCTTTCTTCAACTTGATGCTGGAAAAAGTAATAAGAACTGCAGACCTGAATAGAGAAGGTGCAATTTTCCACTTGATTGTATAAATGTTGGCGTGTACCAATTACATCATCGGCCTTAACAATCTAACTGGACGGTTAGCCAAGTAGCTTGGTAAATTTTCTTGCGGCGGAATCTAGTGCTACAGACAATCATATTTCGAACCCCGGCGAAGTCGATCAGCCTCAGCTCGTTTGGAAATATTTCATCAAAGAGGCTGAATCATCCTTTTGTTGTCCCAAAAATACCTTCTTCGCCCACCCTAGCGTTGGAGTCGCCAAGCACAATTTTGACGTCATGGCGGGGGCAGCACTCATAAGAGTGCTCGAGGCACTCGCAAGAAGCATCCTTGGTCAAATCATCCTTCTCTTGCGTAGGGGCGTGGACGCACATCAGGGTGTTAAAGAACTTCGTTTTGACGAGGATTGTGGCAAGATGTTCATCCACCGGGGTGAACCCCATTGCTCGGCGACGGAGTCTCTCCTGCCACAAATCCGACACCAAATGTACACTCCTTTATATTGCCGCTGAAGAAAATTTCAAAAATAACCACTCTCTTCCGTCCTTGTTCCGTCCATAACATTTCTCGGACGGCGGTGATGTCAGCGTTTAACTTTTGAGTTAGCAGCGGCACCTTCCCAATTAAGGGACCGGACATTCCAGGCGCATGCCCCAAAAGGGGGGTCTGTCAACCGTGGCTAATTTAGATTTTTCATTGGATTTTATATTACATGTGATGGGTCCCAAAACCTACGCACAACCCCTTGGGATTCACCTTCCCACCATAGGTCGTCTCTAAGCGGATGTTTGTTGGCTACCTTGGTGATACGTGATCTAAGACCGGAAGTCGTGAGCTGGTTGTTTCATATGCAAATGAATCGTTTCTGGTCACTTACAGGTGAATGGCATTCAAAAACTTTCTTTACTTGCGTGAACTTCTTCACATGGCCCCATATAAATGTATAGGCCTTCAATTTTATGGGAAAACATCAAAGGCGCAAACAACAAATCGCAGGCGGAATTCAGCCGAAAAACGCTTCAACATTTACAAAGCGTCAATGTCATCGTTTACTTTCTTCACCATTTTTTGAGCAATTATGCGCCAAAAACTACGCCAAATCAATTCTCGTTATTACTAATAAATATATTTATTATATTGCCCAATCAAATCGCTTCCGCGGTTATTAAGCGCCAATTATATGCATATATACATATTTATTAAGCACAGCAACAATAAAAATAATTGGCGCTTTGTAACCACTGAAGCGATTTTCGGCCGAGCTCCTCTTCCAATTTGTGGTTTTTGCGTCTTGATGTTTTTCTAACAAATGGAGGGACCTACAGTTTATATTAAGCCGCCTTCGAACGGCTGACGGTTTTTTTTAATGAGAAGCCTTTAGAAAATTTAACTTCATTTTTTATTTAAATTAATTTTCTATAACATTTGGATGTTGGTTGCACGGGTATTTGGACCCGAGCCTTCCGAAAGGCAGTACGCAATGCTAACCACTCAGCTACCGCGGCCGCAGCAACAATTACAGAAGCATAAAAATGAGTACCAGCATTAGCAAGAACAGCAGCTGATATCCGCAGCACGACATGTGTTTTCGTGTACAATATTTTAGCTGGTATGTAAATATGCTGCTTTGCTTGCACGTGTTTTGGATGGTCTTCGATTTTCACCTATTTAAAAAAAATGAATCAAAGGACCTGTACCTGGACCGAAGCAACGTTTATCGGTGGTACAAAATGTTCTCAGAAGGCCGATAAGATGTGAACGACGAAGAGCGCGCCGGACGCCCGAGCACTTCAACAACAGACGAAAAAATTAATTAAAGGGGGTGCATCATGAGTTCTTGCCACAGAGTAGAACGTTCAATAGGGAAAATTACCTGCAAGTTATGCGCAATTTGCGCGTAGCAATCCGCCAGAAACGTCCGTATTTGTGGAAAAACAAAAATTGGCTTTCGCACCACGATAACGCCCTTGCTCACACATCGTTGCTTGTGCGCGACTTTTTGGCCAAAAACAACACACTAATGATGCCACAGCCACCGTATTCCCCAGAACTGGCCCCCTGTGACTTTTTCTTGGTCCCTAAACTGAAGAGGCTCATGAAAGGACGACGTTACACTACGAATGACGAGATAAAGTCGGCAACGAAGGAGGAGCTGAACAAGATAAAGAAATGATTTTTTGAAGTGCTTCGAAGATTGGAAAATCCGTTGGCACAAGTGTATAATATCTCATGGGGATTACTTTGAAGGGGACAAAATAGATATATTCATGAATAAATAAATAATTTAAAAAAAAAACAAAATTCGTGATATTTTTTAAACACACCTCGTATTGCTAGTGCGTGAGAAAGCTTGCTACTCTAAATACGACCGGGTTTATATTATATTAGCAATATTGACTTCTTTAATTTAAAGAAAGAATAATAAGAGCATTAATTGCAACAGGTGCTCGAATAAGTTTGGTATAAGAGCGTTTTTCTTTTAAGTTTTTATGGGGTTCAAAATTAGTGGAATATTTGAGTCAAAAAATATTTTTGTCAGTTTGCCACACAAAAAATCACATTGCGCATTGACATTTTCATTTGTGAACATTTCAAAAATTAAACTAATATTTAATTTTAATATCAAAATCACAAATCTGAGCAACAAAAACTAATTTCACAGGATATAAGATACAAACCTTACTCAAATAGAAAAAGCAGCAGCTAAAATGAATGGATTCCAAACGTTTATTGGTGTCGAGGACTTCAAGACAGTTGAGATACTGCGTAATCTATTTGGAGAATTTCTGGGCACATTTCTTTATGTTTTTGTTGGCGTTATGAGTACAGTATCACTATCGAAGAGTCTTATAACTTCAGTTATACCTGTCGCCTTCGCCTTTGGTCTTTCGTTATCAACTGTATTACATGTGGTTCAAAGAGCAAGTGGCGCACATCTGAATCCGGCTATTAGCATAAGTTGTTTGGTCGTAGGTGAAATAAAATTTCTAAAATGTTTATGCTATATACTTGTACAATGTTGCGGTGCCTCTTCTGGGGCTCTTTCGGTGGTTATCATTGCGTCGAGACAATCACTTGATGAAGAGGACGGTGTCTCACATCCATTATTTGTCGGCGTGTGGGCTGCACTTGTTGTGGAGATATGTATAACATTTCTGATGGTCATCGTGTTTAAAGCTATGAATGACCCAACTCGTAATGATTTGAATTTATCCGGTCCACTGGTTGTTGGTCTATCGGTAGCTTCGGGCCATTTGGTGGGCTACTTGCTATCGTCGTCGAGCATGAATCCTGCACGTTCTTTCGGACCGGCGCTTGTGAATCTTGATTTCAAATATCATTGGATTTATTGGATCGGGCCAATACTAGGAGGCGTATTAGGAGCAATTTATTATGCTTTTGGTATGCAGGATCGTGAAGCGCTCAAACGTTATTATTCCAGGCGAAATGTCAGCAGAAAAAGTTCAATACGATCAATTACTTGAGCCGCTCAAAACTAAAACGTTAAAGGTTGAAAAATGTCTATCTGTCAATAAAATTCATGTTTTGGCAGAAATTAGATAATATTGATGTGGCCAATAAGTTCTTTGATTAAAATAGCAAGTGAAAAACTTGAATTACTGAGTGAGACATTCCCTACTCAGTCTTAAGAAGCAACTTTTAGCATGAGTGTCCCTGTGGAAGATTTAAATGATTTCCCAATTATGAATGTCAACTCTGATGTGACGTTGGAGCGGGAGATATTTCATCTATTCGTCGTCCCCTACTCGACCTTTTCCCTTCGATTGTACGATTTGGCTGAAGATAACAGCAACTAATTTCATGAACTTGAAATAAAATGATTTTATTTTCCACCAGATCACTCGGTATATAAGCCATTACCTTAATTAACATTCTTACTATGAAGCCTTAGATCGATTGGATTCTCCTTTGACTAGCGCTTTAATGGAATACATAGCCTTCTGTCTTGATTTGGTATTCGCAAATTAAAAGGTCCTTGTACTCAGTGTTGCTTCAATTAATTTTAATTTTAATTTTTAATTTAATTTTCCTTTTCATACTAATGCAATGTTTGCTGTTGTAGTTGTTGCTGCACTTAATATATTACCAACTAAGTGGAAAAATGAATATTTGGAGGTTCCGAAACATCCATTGTCCTTACAAAGAGCACAATAATAATGAAAATGCTATTCATATTTATATGGGTATTTTTCCTTGTACAATCTTGTGTATTTTTCTGTAATAGCGTAATTCATTGCATGTTTTAAACAAATGTAGGTGCCCAAATATACATATTAAAGCATTTTTTTAAATTAAAATGTCTTACGTTTCCATAAGACGACTTAACGGTCAAATTTATGAGTTGCTGGGTACTTATTTCTAATGCTGATGTGCCATACCGTTTCCACAGTAGAAGCTGCACAATTGCTAATTTGGCCCATGACTAAAATTTCCCTTGTGCAAGGCTTTACCTTGGAAGTACTAACTTATCCGCTGAAATCTCTACAAAAACGGGGAAAATATAAAAAAAAATTTTGTGTTGTATATACACATATACATATATATATATATATATATATATTTTATAAAGAAACACAATTTTATGTTAATCTGTATATATGTCTGTGCTTGAGAGTACCTCAACAGCAATTATATATAAAAGCAGCTAAAATGGCACACGCTATGGAACCCACCCAATAGCATAAATGATGTTACTATTCATTCTCAAGAATTGATGCAGCCACCGATCGCACCGGGTTGACGCCTCCGCCGGAGCCGATCATGGCAATCAGATAAGCCCTAAAAACAGTAAGACAAATGTAAAACGAGCCATTCCCGTACGCATCTTCATAACGTCATTCGGTAGTCACAATTACTGTTACGATCCAAATAAAGGACGCCAAACACAACAGTACATATCTCTAAATATGAAGCACCCATCATCGGTCTTATGGTGCAATTCTCCTTATACATTTCCTCATTAGGTGATAGTGAAATAATTCCGATTGCCGCTAAGCCACCAAGAAATTGAGCAAAAATATAGCCAATGACACTTAGTACACTCATGCCGCAAATAAGGAACAAGCCGAGACTGACCATTGGACTGAGGTGCGCACCACTGATACGTCCAAGCGCGTGAGAAATCGAGAATGTAATACACCCCAAGGCGAATGCTACCTGTACAGGTGATGCGAACTGCCATTCTGTGTCAGTAGGTTTGAATGAAGTACACAGTATGCCAATTAATACAAAAAAGAAGGATCCAATGAATTCCGCCAGCATGGCACGCACAAAATCCATGTTCCAGTCTTCGCTGCCGAAAAATTTCTCCAAATCTGGCATTTCAAAAGACTTCGCGTTGTTGTGCGTAGAAAATCAAACAATTGCTTAAATTTTTGCTTTACTTTCAGTTAGCATAAAATGACAATAGGAGAAAAAGTTTAAATTAGAATTTTTTGTATTCACCTCAATGCGATTTCACATTTATTACATTGTCGGCCGAGGCACAGAGGGGCTCGTCAGCAAAACTCTTTGAACTCTATTTCAGAATAATTCAAAGTATTTGATTTACAAGCTTTCTCAGAAACGATGAGTGAAATAAATATTACGAATATAAGTTTGTGGACTTTTTATAACATAAAATACGTTGCTTATGTATATCGAATTTAATTTTTTTGTTTCCAGTTTAAACTTTTGAAAATATTAGGCCCGTTCGTTATCACATTAATTTCGAATAACTATTACAGATTATCCAATATTGTTGTCAAATGGCGTTTGTTTTTGGCTAAACATTAGCCAGTAACTAAATTTGAAAGAGTAAAGTGACAGTTCGCTGCAAGAGAGTCTCTAATTTTATAATAGAACAATTTTATCGTGTAAGAATTCTCCAACTCGAAAACATATGATGTAAAAAACATGGTTCATTTTGAAGCACATAAATAAAAAAAAAAAAACCAATAAAAAAAGGAAAAAAATAAATATGAATTATACATATGTATATCAACATTCTAAGTAAATGTTTGAAATCACTTCTCAAATTGTAATTAATATTCTCAAACTAAAATTAATATTTCATTGATGTTTTCTACTTCCGAAATGTTCTTGGTAAGCATATCACATCCAACTCTCTATTTTCAGTCATTTTTAATTTAATCTGTATTTTAATTTGTCAAAAGCAAAAAATATGATGTTTTGGCTACCTGAATAGTGATGGATAATTTTGCATTCTTTTACTTTTTTCCTTTTTTCCTTTTCAGAGAGTAACATTGCTTATGCTCTTTTAATTTAGTCTAAAACATTGCGGAATTCCAATAGCATATAGGCAAAGCCGGTAAGGTCATTTACTGCATCCCGAGGAACCTTAGGCATTTAAACATATCCTCCTTCGCACACAAGAAACTGAAAATTATTGTAGTCTTTCTCTCTTAAAATCTTGAAAAACGCTGCCTGCGAATTATCAGACCCCATATCAGACAGATAAATACACCTATTAAACATCTCGCAACGAATGAGAATTCTGCACCGTTGGCATCACTTGCGTAGAAGGAGCTTTCAGCAACACTTTGGCCGGTGCTTACATAACTAACTTATGTTGAGGACTTTACGGGTTGAACTGATAAATCAACTACTTCTGTACTTTCGTAAGCAGATGAAAACCTCAAGGTGACATCGCCTATGAGCTGATGGTTGACTGGCTTCTGACAGGAACTGATTGAAGTAAGCAGGAATCGTTGCATACGCGTAAACCGATTATATTGCTACAGTCAACATTGGTATGATTTCTTAACTCTGTGCGACTGGATGTAGGCAACTAGTAACTCTAAAAAAGTTACTACTAAAAGTAACTCTCTCATGTAACCGTTGTGGACGCTGATTCAAGTTTAATAAGGTGAAACGCAGATATTAAATCTGCCAACTATATATTTTGTTGATATTAGCTTAATTAAGAACTACCCAATAATTGCAGAGTATTCAAATATTATTTATTTCAAAATAGGTTTTCTTGGACCCTCTACTGATTTTTGAAGGCCGTGTGGAAGTTAAATCTCCATAAAGTGAAACCACCTAGCATGTCAACAAACTGACTATATCAGCTAAACTTTAGACCTGGTAAATCCTTAATTAATGAGATATTCACCATGCTCCAAATCTCCGAAAAGATTAATGAGAAAAGCCTCGATATATACCATCATTTCATCTTCATTTGTTATCTTCCACAAAAAGTTTTCTCTTCTGAATTTGATATTCCTGTTGAACTTATACAGGTGAGTAGACCAACGCCTAATAATACCAGAAGCGCACTCAGAATTGGTAAGGGCATATCCTTATCAAAACTTCTGACTGGGTGACCACTTATCGTGTGATATATTCAATATAATGCTTCAGAACATAATAAGAGTTACGAAACTAATTAGACAAGGTAGAGTCTTTTACAAAGCGCAGCAGAGGGGTCTGGGAGTCAATGAGCACAATTCAAAATATCAAAATATTCGAGGCTCCCAACACTTTTAAAGAAAAAAAAAACACAGAAAATTCAAACATAATGGAGATTGTTTACTATCATTCGATTGAACATTCCTTTTCAAAACTCTTAAGTCTTTAAAATATTGGCCGCGGCTACGTCTCAGATGAACCATCCATTGATTCGATGACTCCATCGAGCACTTCGGCTGTTAATTGGGGAGCCATACGTTTGATATTTTGCTCCAAAGACTAAAATAAAGCGAAATTTTCCGCACAGACATTATACTTCTACTGGAAAAAGCATTATGGTGTGATATCCCACGATTTTGGTGGCCAGTCGGACGGTCAAAAACGTGAAAATATCTGCTCACCGTAATGTTCCCTCAATAATTCCATTGATCGGTGTGGTGTGTAGGAAGTGGCGCCGTCTTGTTGAAACCAAATGTCGCCGAAATCACGAGTTTCAATTTTAAGTATCAAATAGTTGGTTATCATGGCGCGATAACGGTCGTCATTGACGATTACGTTCTCACTGGCATTGCTTATGAAGATATATGAACCGATGATTCCACATGATTCCACATCAAGCTGTTGATTTTTCTAGATGAAATGGTAGCTATTATCTCTTGCCCTTTGTCACAAATACAATAATTTTTCTTGGTTCCATATCTAGTTACTGCGAATGGCGCCGAATCGACTCCCCACGGTTTTCGTGTTCACCCTCAGCTATATCTTCTTCACTGCGTACTAGACGTGATCTGTTCGGTCGAATATAATCGATTTATGACTGCTCTGTCTCAAGACAGATGATGGTGTTTAAAATAGTACGCTCTGTAGGCCGATTATATTGAACGTAAGATGAGTGAAACGCGCGAAATCAATTTTTACAGGACGTGAATTTTCGTATAAAAGCTAAACAATATGTAGACTTTGTGTAGGTTTAAGTCATTTCATGATGAAACGTCAAACAATACTGATAAGTCTGCTTTACCCAAGTTAAGCATTCCAAGCCAAATGAGTTTATTATATTACAATATTATTAAATATTTTGTTATTTAAAAAAAAAATGGATATGTATTTTCCGTTACCTAAAAATCATCCAAATTAAGCAGAATTCAATGTTTCCAATTGAGTGGAATTTCATGGAATAAACGCTTCCACTCAAAGCGACATATATATTAGCACATATAATGCATATGCATGTATGTATCTTTACCCACATGCATCAGATGTTCAAAATACCCAAAAGGACTAGTTATGTAACAAAAGCTGAAAGCGCAAAAAGCGTGAAAGCCTTGAGTAGCAATTTGTTAGAAAAACAGTTTTCCACTTTCGCAATAATTAAAATTTTACATAAAAAAATATTTGCTTATTTATTAATTCTGTTTAGTTAAGGAAAATATAAACGATTTCTAAACAGCATATTGCCTGCAGCGAATTGAAAAAAAGCAACGATTTTATGGTCTAACGTATACAATATTGAAGGTTTGCTACCACCTCGATAAAATAAATTATTGAAACTATTGTTTGGGATTTTTTCAGTTTTGGATGACCTCAAGTAAATGAGCTTTATCCTTGTGGAGAAAATTATTATTCTGGTTCAAGGAATACTGCTGGAAAAATAAATTGTTTTTATTGTTACTAAAAATTAAAGTTATTCGTAATACAATTGATACTCTTTAGTTTCATCGGAACCAACAAGCTAGACGCGAAACTGAACTGAATTCTTTGTGTTTATTGGAAATATGATAAATGCAATTGAACTGAAATGCATGGCTTCAATAGCTTAAATTATAAAATGTCAGAAAAGATAATAATGTAATGTATAAAAATGGAAAAGAGCAAGAAAATAAAAAGAAATCATAATAGCGATTTGAATTAAGAAATGGATATCAAAATATTTTCGTCACTATCTCAATGGGTGGCTTGATAAATTTTTAAATGCATAACAATACTTTTTCTTTTATTATATAAACATAATTGTGTGGCTATCATTGTTAAGACCGGTAGACGAACTCTGATTCAACCAACATCCAAAATTATTAACCATTAATTTTTCTAATTGATCTGCGATTGTATATGTATCTATTTCCGAAGGCGGCTAAAATCAAGCTGTAGGTCCCTCCATTTGTTTGAAAACATTAAGACGCATACCAAAATGTGAAGCAGAAGCTCGGCCAAACAACGCTTTCGCGGTTAGGAGCGTCAATTTTATACATATTAATATATATACCTTCGTACGTACACGTCTATAAACATATTGTCTATGAGGCAAACAGTGAGAGCAGACGAATAAATAAAAAGTGTTAGTAAAAACCAGATTGGAATATATTCATAAAACTTGTTATAGCCCGCCAAAAAAAATAAAAGAAACAATTTGAAAAGTGACGAGTGGCGGGTGAGCATCTATATTCGTTATTTAAGAATAACTTTAAATTTATTAGAGCTTGAAACTTTGTTCATCTACTAAATTATGGCATTTGGGGTCCGACGTGCGATTGTCGAAAAACAAATGCATCTGCAGTATGCCCCCGTTTGGTGCAGGTTTTGACCTGGTGTTATCATTTCATCAAATTTTTTTGAATATGAGGCATGTTCGATGAGCCAGTACACATGAGCTTACAAAGCAGACAAGGACATTTTTTCAGTGCGTTGTCGGACAATTTAGGGACATCCTTTATATAAATATCAAAAGTCAGAAACCGCACAACAAAACCAAAATATTCACAGTAACGGACGCATAACGAAAGCGAAACCATGGAAAATATTGGTATATAAGTAGTCAGAAAAACGCAAAAAGGAATAACGTGTACCATACAGAGCAACAGCAAAAATAGTGCTACCGACAAAGCAACAAATAATGTTTTTTTCCTAAAAACTATGCAACGCTAACGAATGCCCAAATAAAACATGTGGATACAGAACTGTTAAAGAAAAATGTTTAACAAAGCACCAAGAGAATAGAAACAAGCAATACAAACATGTTGAAATCCACT